GGGTTCCCCGCCGCGCCCTGCCCGCCGTCCGGTCCTCGGCCCGCAGCCTCCCGGGTCCCCGGCCGCAGGCTCCTCCCCGCGCCCTCCTTCCGCCTCCATGGACGCTAGAGTCCCCGCCCGCCGCGCCCCACCCCCGCTCGGGGCTGTGGCCTCCGCGAGCTCGGCGCTTCCAGTCCCCTGCTCCCCGCCCGCATCGCTCCCTCAACCCCCGCCGCCGCCCCGCCGTCCATTTCCGAACCAAACTCTTGCTTGTTTAGAGGGGAATCACTTGCAGAGAGCACGTAGTTAGGGACCGGACCTCCTGGGGCACGTGGGGAGCCGTTCATTCATTCAGCTCGCATTTCTTAAACGCCTGCTCGTAAATGCTGCTTCGCACTGGGAATACCGAAATGACTGGACATTGCCCCTCTCAAGCAGGGCACACGTAGGGTGGGAGATAGAGCTGTAAACAAATATTTGTATGGTGTGATAAGTGCTCTGATGAATATATATGCCAAATACGGAGATTTAAAAAGGGGTGTCTTGGGGAAGAGGTGAGAGTCCGGAAAGACTTCACAGAGAAAAAAACCCAGCAAACTGGATCCTGTTGGATGAGCGGGAGTTTGCCTGGCAGGTGAAGAAAGGTCTAGCATTCTACCTGCAGGATATAGCATGTGCAAGCGTACCAACGTGTGAGGCAGCATTTACGTCTTGGGAATCTATTGGGCCTGAGAGCCCAGGCAGAGTGCAAGCCACCACAGAGGCAAAAGCGAAGGGCTCTGGTTATTAAAGGGCTCTCGTTATTCACTGGCTGGTGGGGTACCAGTGCATAAAGTGATAATTACAGAATCACCTATGTGAATGATAGGAGGTTCACAAGGGCAAAGTTCTTGACGGCGCTTTAACCACCCTGAGCCCTAATTATAATTCGGTTAAATAAGGTTTGTAATTATGTACCATGATTTTATTGCAAAAGATGTTAAAAGGGGTGGTGAAAGTGAGGGAACTTGAGCATATTGTATGTGCAGGGGGAGAGGAGCTCCTGGAGAGGCAGAAGGTAAAATGAATGGAAGACACACGGAGGTCATAGGTAGGGATGGGTTTTCAGAGCATCGATGGGATGGAAAGACTAGAGTTTAGGGAAGAATTCTTGAGAGAGAGAGAGGAGCCACGGGCATAGAAAGGGGCTTCCAGCCTGATGGTCTCTTTTTTTCTGTGAATCAGATTTATCAGGAATAAGGTAGGATGCTTGAAAAGAGGGGTTGGGAAGGGGGCTCTGTAAACATAGCAGAGCAATGGTGTGGGCTCAGCTGTGTTTAGAGACCATCTCTTTTTATGGGTTCCTCTGGACAGTGTTCTGCCCAGGTATGGAGGAGGGAAAAGTTAATGATTGGATTATATACACATAGGTATGCATGTAGACAGTAGCCAAAGATGACATTTTTGAAAGTCTACTCCCAAAGGTAAGATAATATACATACATATATACATATGTATACACACACACACACACACGCACAGACACACATACTGACTGCTCAGACTGAAGGCTCAGGACTCGTTCTGGATTTCAAAATAATATTTATTATGTATTTTGGTTTATCAAGAGTAACTTTCTTAAAACAGATTAGTGGTTTGTGCACAGATTGTTAAGGGCCCCTGTTTTTGCTTTGCCTGGACTGTCTGGAAAGAAGTTTATTTTAATCTTTGCTTACATCTTAGGTTGATGTAAAACTTAAAATATTTTGTCACTTTTGATAATGGTTTTTAGTAGATGATATGTTGCTGGTAATGCATGTCTCTTGAGTTAGGAATGCATAAGAAATCTCTTTCTTTTCAGGAGCTGAGGCTGGTCACCACTGCCATTGTCCCTTTTCTCTTGTGTAAATATGCTCACCACTGCTTGACAGAGCCCGTTTCAGCTCCCTTCAATAGAGGGAACTGAGAATAAACTACCTTGTCTTTGGTCACTTTATTTATCTTCTCTGAGCCTTGGTTTTAGTTTTGGTTAAATATGGATTGTAGTTATCTGCTGAGGTTTTACTTTAGAAGGGTATTGTGTAGGATTCAATGTTGGCAGGACTTTGACCTCTTGGGAAAAGAGCTGTCTTGCCGATTTTTTTTGACAGGTGATGATACTTTGTGATAAGGATGAAAGCAGTTCATATGTCTTGACTGGAGAATTCTAGAAATCTTTCATTGAAGTTGGCCCTATGTCCTTCCATCTACACTTGTTCTGACCTTGGTGGAGATAGAGGACTGTTAATTGTCCTTTGCTTTCCTGGAACATCAGACTCATCCACAGTCACCTTTTCTAGGTGAAATATTCCACTCCACTTATGAAACTCACCCACGGTCACTTTTTCCAGGTGAATATTCACTACACTTGTCCTTTTCTTATGGCCTCATTTAAGAAGGAGCAAACAAGCAGACAACACAAACCCCCCAAATTCTGGACAGTTTTCACCTACTAGAGTATCCTACTCAAGTCCCCGACCAGGGTTAGGTATATTGTCAGCTATTCAGTATTTGAACATTTTTTACACAGAAACCCAGCAAGTTTAGCAGTCCAGAGGCGTTGCCTCTAATTCTAACTCATTGGTGTTAGGGAAGATATGATTCCCACAAAGAGGAGAATAGGAATGTATATGATGGGCATGGGAGATTTGTTGGGTAAATTACCCAGGTTTTTAGAGCTTTGGGTTCACATTTTCATTGAGGCTAATGTGCATTCTGCAGCCTACCATTATTTGGGATGTTCTGCAGTTGCAGTCCTTTTGCTTCCTCTAGCACCAGATCTCTATTCATTAAATCAAGTGTGTTGCTTCTATATTTTTAAACTCACATTCTTATGTTTATCCTACTAGGATTGTTTTTGTATCCTGGTAGCTTACGTACTTGGAACAAAAGCTCATGCAATTATTTAATGGCTTATTCATGATTAGGTACTTGTTATAAATTTTAGTTTTTTTTTCTTTTATGACATCTTTGTGTATACCTCTAGCCAGTCAGCAGCTCATGTGTAGGGGTTAACTTTACTTACTCCAATTAAATTTCATCTCATTTGTGTCTCTGAACTCTATTACTTCATAAAATATGTTTTTATTATATAAATTATTACTTTGTATCAAAACCTGAATTTTGGTCATGGAATTAGAGTTTGCTGTTCTTATCTGGTGTGGTTTGGGACTTGCTTCAATACAGCTCATTTGAATTCATGCTTAGAGGAATGGAGTTGGAAAGAATGTTTGTTTCTTATGCACGCCTCTCATTTTATAGAAGAGCAGCTGATAACTAGAAGGGTTAAGGGACTTGGCCAAAGACTCATTGTTTGAGAAAGAGTGGAGATGGGAGTTTATGTTTCCTGAATCTTAGTCGGTACTCTTCATTTACTCTGTCACCTCCCGGAAATGGAGTTTGATAATAAGGGAGGGTAGCTGCACTGGATAGAACCTATGTGCATTTTATTGTGAGTTTCTCCTCCTCCTCCTTTGATTTCATCTGTCTCAATCCTTAGCTTATTATATTTCACATTAGATATTTAATTCTGGTCTCTCATTGAGACAGAATCTTTTCTCCAGAAAGAATAACAAGTGTTTGGTTAGAGAGAGATTATTCACTTTATGAAATAGTCTTTGTGTTTGAAGTTACAGACGAAAAATAAGTGTGTTGCACGGTGTATTTACTACCTTCGTGGCTCTGGAAACATTACTTACTCTTGCTGTGCTTCAGCCTCCTCATCTGTAAAATGGGGATAGCAGTGGTTCCTACTTCTAATGCTGTGTTTGAGGATTAGATGAATTAATATATGCAAATTGCTTAGAACAGTGCCTGACTCATAATACAATGGAAGTGTTGGCTGTTGTGTAGTGGGAGAGGTTTTTCTACCTCTTCACCTCCCTCAGCACTTCTTGTCAGCCCAGTTATCTGATTTTTCAGTGAGTCTCATGTAGGAGACTCTAATTTGTTGATGTTTTTCTGAGAAACAATGTGCCTTCTGTTTTTTCTTCTTCTTCTTTTTTTTTCTTTGAAATTTAGTGTTCTGCTTTCACTGTAGCACTGGATATCTGTTTAACAAAAGACATACAGAATGTTACCCTTACTTGATTGTAATTTTCTTCTTTTTAAGGATTTGGAATGCCCTGACAGATAATTATGGAAATGTGATGCCTGTTGACTGGAAGTCATCCCATACGAGGACCTTGCATTTGCTAACTCTGAACCTCTCAGAAAAAGGGGTAAGTTAGGAATTGAACCAATAGTTTCTGAATAACTGATGTTGATAATGGTAGTAAAACAGTTGCATTTCTGTTTAACGTAAATTCTTTGAGCTTCTAAGCTTCCAGCAACTGGAGTGGCCCTCTCTTGCCAGCTTGGCTCCGCTGTTATCGCCTTGCTAGCACACTTCTCCACTTCTTCCCCAGGACATACTCACTTTGGTATGTGTAGCTAAATTTCCACTGCCTGTGATCGCCATTTCTCCCCGTGTATATAACACGATTTTGATGTGCTGTGAACTCCCAGTGAGAATCTTAGCCTTGATTTAATATGATGAGGGTATTGGGATATCAATAAGGAGTTAACTTTTTGATGAATTTAGTGACTTGCTGAACATGGCATGTTGTCAGAAGACTTATGTATTCCTGTGAATACTGGGGAAACTTTATTTTTTAATTTTTTATATTTTATTTTATTTATCATTATACAATGTAGTTGATTTTTGTGGCCCTTTACCAGTTTCTCCCTTTCCTCCTTCCTGTCCCCCTTTCTCACTCCCATCAACATCTTATGTTCTTTTTTCTTAACGAGTTCAAGGAATTATTGGGATTGTTGTATCTTTTTTTCCCCCATATTTATTTGTTTGTTTATTTATTTATTTTGATTAGCTCCCACATATAAGTGAGAACATGGGGAACCTTTAAAAGACATTTAAGTTCTTGGCTTTTAAATGTGTTCTTGGCTAATTTATTCTCCTTGAGGCTCCTGTGTACATCCTGGTATTATAAAGTGGAGGTGCCTTGAGTAAGAAGTGTGAGCATAAGTGATAGGACAGCTTGGGGGCCAGAAAAGGGCAGAGAATTAACTTGAAATGGAAAATCACAGTGTTAAATTTATTTAAAGCTGATGAGAAACATAGCCAAATTATGTAAGTTTCAGGGCCAGACTGTTTAAGTTCTTTATCAAATAACAATGTAAACTCATGCCAGATCTTCTGGCATGCTCTATGTTTCATTAAGTGTAATTGTATGATTATGGAGAGTATAATGCAGTCGGGCTGTCAGTATTTTAAGTAATACTGTTACATTGTTAATGTTTCATGAAAGTGATTTTCTTAAATGTGTGACTCAGAAGTCTGCTGCTATTATTTTCTAGTAAAATATAGAATTCGACTACATTTCCCAGTATTCTACTAGATATAGAATTCTTACTGTTTGTTCTAATCATTAACTCTGTGAAGCTTTGCAGACCAACCTTGCCTACATTTAGTGAAAAGGAACAAAATGAAATAACTTATGCTGTCTTCTGTTAATTTAGGTCCTAGCTATCATTTTGAGCTTAGTTCAAGTTTCCCTTCCTCACTGAAGCTTCCTATTACTGTTTTAGCTTTTGCTGATCTCATGGAATTATACAGTTTTAGAGTTGGAAGGGACTTTAAAGGACACCTAATCCAGCCTCTCGCTTGGGGGGAATCCCCATCTCCAGCATCTCTGACAGATGGTCATTTAGCCATGGCCTAAATCCCTGCACAGAAGGAAAACACACTCCTCTGTGTGGGAATTGATGCCATTTGTGGGGAAGTGAACTTTGAATGGACTTATTATCTGTCCTGTAGAATTTAGCCCCATTGCCTCAGGGGTGCTAGTCCCCACAGCACTGATTCCATGTCTCTGTAAAATCACTACTGTATTCTCTTATGAATCATGTGTTTCTGGGTCTGCCATGAGATTGCGGTGTCCTGGCAGGTATCTTTGTATTTGTCTTTTTAGTAACTACCACTGTGCCTAGCACATAGTGAGTACTAAGACATGTTGTTTGTTGAGTGAAAAATGAATAACCTTGTCAGTGACATTGTAAGGTCAGAGATTGTGATGAAAAGTTGTTTTTTAAAAAAATATTTTCTATATTTTTAAAAATAATGCTAATATGCTAATCTATAGTAGTGAGTCCCTGAGTACTTTTTTGACATATTAAAAAAATAACATAGAAGAGTTCCTTTCGTAGTTTCAAAGAAAAGCACATTAGCAGCATGAATGGGGCACTCTAATCCAATTTCATTGAATAAAATGTACACTTGGCCCCTCATATATGTGGGTTCTGCATCCACAGATTCAATCATGAAAATATTTGGAACAAAAAAAAAATGAAAAATAACAATATAACGGTAAGAAATAGTATAAATAAAAAACAATACAGAATAACAACTATTTATATAGCATTTACATTGTATTAGGTATTATAAGTTATCTAGAGATGATTTAAAGTATATGAGAAGACGTGCATAGGTTACATACAAATAGCATCCATTTTACATAAGGGACTTGAGCATCTGTGGATTTGGTATCCTGGGGGCATCCTGGAACCAATCCCTCCACTGATTCCCAAAGACGACTGTATGTCTTTTAGTGTTCTTAGATTGTGCCTTAGGAAGTCATTCCCTTTTCTGCCTTTTGAATGTTATTTTCGATGCCAGGGTAATGGCATTTCCAGTGTAGTGATTAGTAATGACAGGGTTTAGTACTAGTACTGATTGTAAAAGCCTTACCTGGAAAAACTCAGCAGATTAAAGTGGACAAGTGATCATTCATCTATAATCTATCTGTCTATCATGGAATAACTATTCTGGTGATGAATAGAACTGAAATTAGAACTCTTCCTCAGGAAAGATCAGCACTCATTGAGTTCCCTAAGAACAAAAGGGCAATAAGACTATATAAGAAGCAACCATGTCACTCTATTATATAGTATATCATTAACAAAGTTTTTTTAAAAACTTGGGAAAGTTATTTTATTTACCATTGCCAACTGGGAGCTCTATTCTTTCCATGACTGAGCTATGTAAAATTTACCTTTTGGAAGCATTCTTTAGATTATTACAGTTGCAAAATAGGGTCTATAGGAAATTTATTCCTTGACAAAGGGAGAAGAAATTTTTTTTTTGCATTAAAATGAGAAAAATATTCGGGAAAAACCACAGTTTTTTGGATTTCAGTTTTTTTTTTTTCTTTCAGAATATTAAGGTGGCATACTTCCATATTTAATGGGTTTTTTCTAGAGTAAGACAATTGATAATATTCCAAATTCTTACATGGGCACATTGTTTTCACATGATGTATCTTCAGTTTTATACAGGGAAACAGTACCACTAGCTCTGTATCTAACTCTGACATAGGAAGGAATGAGGGGATGCTTGGCGAAAGAAGGCATGTTTATACCTAATGGGAGGGTGAATAATGATACCCATGACAACCAAGGTTAGTTGTCAAAGCCTGAAAGGAATTCCAGCCCTTAGCCTATGCCATCTGTGTGGGAATGGGCTTGGCTCCCTCTCTGGAAAGATGATCTGGGATCATTATTTCTGTCGTCATGGAATTTTATTCTAATGGTTTACTGGTATTACTCATGTGTTTTGGCAGTGGGCATAACCTGTTCTAAATATGGTGCCATTCTTGCATATGCTTATACAATAGAATGCTTCTAATTCATTCTGGCTTAGGAACATCTCCTGAGCCTTCATCTTCCTCCTTCCATGTGCATGGGACAGAGGCTTTTTTTAATGCATCTTTATATCTTTAAGAGTAGAAACAAGAAGAAGATAATAACTTCTTCCTTAGGAGTAATTTTAAAATTAAAATTTTCCTTTGTGTGCAAAGGGGGAAATGTAAAACAAAACTATGGTCCTGAAGCTACAACATAAAGGAGTGACTGGGATGGGGATTGGGTTTGAGGCGTAAGGATCAGTGAAGAGGATTGTTATGTCTGCTTCACGTCATCCACACACCCTGTGATCACATCGTGGCACTTTTTAAATCTTCAGTCTTGAAATCACACATTCCTTCTCATCAAGAGCTTCATCTCTTGATCATTCTCTTTTTTTATTAAAATTAAGTTGTTAAAGGATAACTGCTATAGTTTAAAAACTAAACACTGAGACTTAATGAAAAGGAGGCCTCTGCCCACTTTCCTCATCCTTGATTTCTGCTACTAGAGGTGACCACTTTCAACGTCAGCTGTTTCTTTGAGCAGATAACATGCTCCTACCATTTTACTTGATTTTATTTTTCAATTTTAGATTTTATCCATTTGCTTTCTACCCGAAGGATGAAGGTTTAGCTCTCTTATAAAAGTTTCCCTCCCCCATCTTCCCAATTTAATGATATAAAAATCCTTGTTTAAATTAATTTTCATTATTTATATTGACAATTTAAATGCTCAAAGTTGACCCATTTTGTTATATTGTGATTAAATTTCCTCTTGTGCAATTTAGTTTTTTCTTAGGGTAATAATAATTGCCTTTTTTGTGATTTATTTAGTTTTAATTAGCTCACCAGTTCACCCTCAATAGAATCATAAAACTCATTTTAGTGAGTGGAATATACTAGGTAATTTATCAATGTCTTTTTCCTCTCCCTCTCCTCTCTTTGTTGTGCTTTTCCTGATGTCCTCTGCAATAACAATTCTAACCTGAACTGGTTACTCTCTAGTTTAGCTCCACAGCTGTCATTCTGAGATTTTTACTTCACTGTCATTACAAGAATTCCTTTCATCTCTCTCCTGCATTTGACTCCATGTCTTTTTCCTTTTCTTCCTGGTAACTTGCTGAGAAAGGGTGCATGAGAAGTAAATTCTTTGAAAAGTTGTATGTCTGAAAATGTCTTTATTCTAAGCTCCCACCTGATTGTTAGTTTAGCTGGAAATAAGATTCCAGGGTAGAATTTATTGAAACACAGAAATTACATTGCTTGTTTTCTAGCATCTATTGTTACTGTTGAGAATTCAGTGATATTTTTATTTCAGATTCTTTTAATGTGATGGTTTTTTCCTCTCTGGAAGATTTTAGATTCTTTTTTTCATACAGTGTTCTGAAATTTCATGATGATGGGTTGGAGGCCATGGCCAGGCCTTTCCTAGGCTGATAGTGCAGTGAGAAATAGAATAAGGAGGTATGTCACCACTGTGATACGGCATGGAATTGCATGATGTGGTAGTAGGTAGATCCTGGCGTGCTGATGTGGCCCTTCTTCCAGCCTAATGATTGAAAGTCAGCGCTCCAGTGGTTCCTCGCTTTGCCCTTGTCACCTATAGGTTTCTTACTCTGTGGGCTGTGTTCACCCTTAAACTTCAGATTCTCCTGTGTGAGGAACTAGGGAGACAGTAGGGACCTACATCCTCAATTTTATATGTATCCTCTGCACTGGTAAATATAATAATTTTCCCAGGTAAAATTTTATTGTTTTCTTTATAGTAAATATAATATATATTTATGTAACATATAATATATTATTTTAATTGTATACTATGTAATGGGATGATATGGTTGTTTCTTACATAGTCCTTGTTGCTGATTTGTTCCTTGGAGACTCAGTGTTTGCTAACTTTCCTGAGGAAGAGAGTTCTAAGTTCAGTTCCATTCAGCACCAGAATAGTCTTGTCATGATAGATAGATGATAGATGGATGTTCACTCATCTACTTTAATCTGCCTTAATCTGAGTTTTTCCAGTAAGGCTTTTACAATCAGTACTAGTACTAAACTCCAAGGTACTACTAAAGGGGCTGTTTATATTGGTGTGGGCATGGTTAAAGGAAACCAGCCAGGCATGGTGCAATACCCCAGGGCTGGCAACACCACGCAGCACTTTAGCAGCCCTGGCATGGAAATGTAAGGAGAGGGAGAAGTTACCAGTGCCTGGAGAGGTTAGCTGTAGGGGAGAGGTCTGCTTGACAAGAGTGGTGGCCTTTGGTAAGAGCCACAGGCAATGAGTGGTAGTCAGCAGGGAAGGAGACAGCAGAATAATTGTCCAGCTCTCACTTTTCCACCTTCTGGTGTCCTAGCGTCTGCCAGTGGTGTTAACTCAAGGGGAAGTCAGAGGCCAAGGGCATCCCTTGATGTAGTCCATAAAGGTCAGCCTGCTGGGGCACAAACGGAGTGGAAATAGTGGTGAGATGAACAGAGAATCTCCAGCACACTTAGTTTTAAAGATGTTTTTGGAACCTAGAGATACCTTTTTTGGAAGAAATGTTCAACTAGAAGGGCTAAGTGGGACCATCATGGACAGATCCTGTCTGCCAGGGAGTTGATTACTTATCTTTTACTCTGAATAGTAATTACAATTTGGTTTGCAAGTGAACTCACTTTATGTTTTCTGTGGAATATTCACATATACTGATCTTACTATTAGATTGTTAACTAAAGAACATTTGTTGCTAAACCTGCCTGTTTTCTTCAGACTATTCACTACAATTCCCTACAACTTGCTAACTAATACCATATTTTTTTCTGCATATCTGTCAGGTTTTATAGCATTCTTCCCCATGGAAAAAATAGCTATGTATGTATCTGTAGCAGGCAACAGGGGATGTGTACAGCACCTTAACAATTTCCCATTTATACTACATTCCTCTCATTCCTGTTTAAGATGAATATGTAAAGCACTTCACACACTGCCTGGTATACAGTGATGGTGATAATTTCTCCCTTTCAAGGGAAAGCTCCTGGTAGATGTTTTCCCCTGCAGTCTCTTTTACCCAGACATGTTGACTTTGTTTTGATCAGGATATCTTGCTTTTAACAGTGGGCATTTTTGCTTTTAGATAAGTGAGGGTTTGGTCTTTGATACGTCAGATGATGAGGAGCTGAGAGAACAGCTGGATATGCATTCGATCATCGTCTCCTGTGTTAGCGACGAGCCCCTCTTCACTGCAGACCAGGTATAGAGGAAATGGTCATCAACACAAGAAAAGGGAAAGCCAGAACTGAAAAACAATTTCTTATTGTGGCAATAAATGATGGATGTTGAAATTTACTTATTTTTTCTATATTTTCTGATTATATAACCTTAACATGAACTCTTCCACTAAGAAAAAACAAAAAAGAAGTATATGAAATCTAAAGAGAAGGGATTATGTTAGTTGGGAAGATTTCCAATATAGGCATTGTTGTGTTTTTTTTTTTTTTTTTTTTTTTTTTTAAAAAGACGACCGGTAAGGGGATCTTAACCCTTGACTTGGTGTTGTCAGCACCACGCTCAGCCAGTGAGTGAACCGGCCATCCCTATATGGGATCCGAACCCGGGGCCTTGGTGTTATCAGCACCGCACTCTCCCGAGTGAGCCACGGGCCGGCCCCAATATAGGCATTGTTAAATAGTATAGCAAATTATTAAGGAAGGGTTATTGCTTAAACCGAAATCAGAAAAATATTGTAAATTTTCTACTTTCTTTAGATTGATCCACATATGGGTAAACTATAAAACACCTCTGTAAGAATTAATTTCTTTAAAACCCTGGATAAAAATTATTAGCACAGGGCCGGCCCCATGGCTCACTTGGGAGAGTGTGGTGCTGGTAGCGCTGAGGCGGCGGGTTTGGATCCTATATAGGGGTGGCTGGTGCGCTCACTGGTTGAGCGTGGTGTGGACCTCACCATGCTGAGGGTTGTGATCCCCTTACTGGTCAAAAAAAAAAAAAATTATTAGCACATATTGGAAGTACATATTGTGTACCCCAGAAAGAAGTGAGCCTCATTCCTGTGGAATGCTCTAGTAATGTCAACACTGTATTCATTTAAAACTAGCCAAATCAGCTTCCTCATTTTCTGAATACCCTTCCCACCTCTTTGTATTATCAAAATGTGATGCGTGAACTTCTTCCTGAAATAAAATGTTCCATGGCTACTCAGACTGTGAATTCTACCACACCCTATTTTTAGGAGGGAAAGACAAGGTCAGTAAGGAGATACAGTAAGGTTGGGAGGAGTACACTAAAAAAGTGCATTGAAAATATGATATTTTGATGCTCCTGAGTCATATTTGTGGTTGGATTGGTCTAGGCCTAGAAAGAGTGTGGTGCTTAAAAAGCAAGATGGTAATAGATTAGAGGGCTGTTCTGAGATAGAGCGTGATGTTCCAGGGAAAGACGTGACCTGGAGGTTCATTTGTCCCCCAGTTATCTGCCTGAGTAGCATAAACTATCCCTGTTTTTACGACTTTGAGAGACAGATTCTGTGGCCTCCTTGAGTGTCTCATTGTACTGTTTTACAATGCCTGTTTTGGAAAAATCTTATGATTAACACAATTCTATCTCCTTCAGATGTACTCTCGTTTCTCCTCAGTAGACATGCTACCTGTTAAGCTTGTTGATTCATAAAGCATGTTAAATAAGCTCGTGCTGTTTTACTCCTTCATTTAATTGTTTAGTAGGTTTTTTTTTTTTGTCTTTTTTCGTGTCCGGCAACGGATCGCAACCCTCAGTGTCGCGCCCGTACCGGACCGGGACCGGCAACGGGATCGCAACCCTCGGTGTCGTGCCCGCACCTTGCTCAGCCAGTGAGCGGGAACCGGTCTGTATGTGGGATCCGAACCCTTGGAGGGAGCACCGCCGCGCTCCCAAGCGGCGCACTGTAGCAGTGCGCCACCGGGCCGGCCCTAGTAGGTTTTTTTTTAAACCTTAGGTTCTTTTTTCTAACCATTGAGTAATTTTTCTGACTTTCCACTAAGTTTTTGCTGAGTTCTATATCCTTCTGAACTTTTGAAATCTGGAACGGGGCAAGATACTGTTGTAAGATTTGAGCAGCGTTGCATATGACAGTAGATCATTGTTTAAAAGGTGATGTATTTCTGAAGTTTCCCTGCTTCATGCAACTTTTTTTTGTCTTTAAGCTCATACATTTTAAATAATTTTTAAATATCCTTTTATTTTTCATTGAATTAATATATGAAATTCTTTTTTTGTTGTTAAAGGAAAATTTTGCTACCATAGAGGTAATTTCCTGTTTTATATAAACATTTTTTATTCTATTGTGTTTTCTAAATTTAATGTCAGATTTTTGGTTAGAATGAGTACTTGCATGTATATTTACTTTCTTTTAACTGTAACTTTATGATCTGATTCTGGCATGTTTGACATAAATTATGTATGTGTTGGTAGTACTATTTCTCATACATTGCAGGTTCTAGTAGGGCCTACTGAATCATGATAGACATATTAAATCATATTCTACTTAACTTGTGTTTAGTTTATTGTAAATTTTTTGGATAAGCCATGTTCACTCTTACAACCAAAATTTTGATTATTCAGAACACCTATTCATGCACACTTTTGGTTAGTGGAGAATTTAGTGCATTTCTACTCTGGTTGTCTCAGGTGAGCACTGTGTTCCAGGTAGATCATGTTTCCCTTATATATTTGATTAACAGTGGAATGTTATTTTGGAAGGTTATCGAAGAAATTGAAGAAATGATGCAGGAATCACCGGACCCAGAAGATGATGAAACCCCCACACAGTCAGATCGGCTTTCAATGCTTTCCCAGGAAATTCAGACTCTTACGAGGTCTAGTACAAGCAGTTATGAAGAGAGTAAGAGACCCTACTTAAATCAGTGCTCTTTGTGCTTTTGTCCATATCAAATGTGTAGCATGACCATCTCCAGAAAGCTTTGATTCTCACAGGCTGGGTTACATACCCTGTGGTGGCCCTCCAGTAATACTCTGGGCATATTTTTGTCTTTGCTCAGAGACTGTTATGTTTACCTTTGAACCGTTTGTTAGTTTGCTATGGCTGCCCTCACAAAGCACCATCAGACTGGTGGCTTAAACAACCGAACTTTTTTTTCTCATAGTTCTAGAGGCTAGAAATCTGTGATCAAGGTGTTGGCAGGGGTGATTTCTTCTGAGGCCTCTGTCCTTGGCTTACATGGATGGTCATCTTCTCCCCATGACTCCACATCATCTTCCTTTATACCTGTGTCCAAATTTTCTCTTCCTATAAAGACAGCAGTCAGATTGGATTAGGACCCACCCAGATGACCTCATTTTAACTTAATTACAGTCAAGCACCACAAAATGACAATTCAGTAAACGATGGCCTGCATATACAACAGTGGTGTAAGATTATAATACTGTATTTTTACTGTACCTTTCCTATGTTTAGATATGTTTAGCTACAAAAACACCATTGTGTTACAATTGCCTACAGTATTCAGTATAGTAACATGCTGTGCAGGTTTGTAGCCTGGAAGCCATAAGCTAGACCTCACAGCCTCGGTGTGTAGTGGGCTATGCCATCGAGGTTTATGTGAGGACACTATGGTGTTCGCACAACAACGAAATTGCCTAAGGACACATTTCTCAGAATGTATCCCTGTCATTGAGCAACAATGATTGTATCTGTATAAAGACTGTCTCCAAGTGCAGTCACATCCTGAGGTACTGGGGATTAGGAGTTCAACAATGTCCTATCTCTCAAATGAGGGAAAGTGCTGAGAAAAAACTGAAATGGGGTTTCAGGGAATACTATTCCCTTTCATCTTCCCAGTCTTCAACAAAATTCACAAATTGGGGCATATGCGATTAAATACGTATTTAGTTTAATTCTTTCAAATCAACTCCCTCTCTCTTTAGAAGTGTCCCAGATCCTGCTAGGTTGCTTGCAGTCCCTTGTCCGAGGGCAGTTTCTGTTCTCTCCCTCTGCCATGTGTTTGTTCTTTTCTTCGTTTGCGCTTTCTCAGTCTTGACTGAAGTACTACTCATGGGATGACTGATTTACACAGTGAAAAGTGCTGTTACACTTCTCTTCTCAGCTGGCTTTGATTTTGCTCGCCTATCTCTACTCAGACCTGCCTACCAGAAATTTTAGGATTCTAAGAAGATTACGAAAAGTCAGCTTAATCGCTTTGAATTTGATTTCTTGCTCGTTGGCATAAAACATTCTTTTGCTGTTACACTTCTCTTCTCAGCTGGCTTTGATTTTGCTCGCCTATCTCTACTCAGACCTGCCTACCAGAAATTTTAGGATTCTAAGAAGATTATGAAAAGTCAGCTTAATCGCTTTGAATTTGATTTCTTGCTCGTTGGCATAAAACATTCTTTTGTGCTGCCTTCAAGCATTTTTGTCTTAGCATCTGCTGTAATTTGTCTTTGGTCATAGGGGTAAAAAGGCTTTCAGTATCTGGATTAAATGAACTCCTGGAAGAAATTGAGACTGCCATTAAAGAATACTCCGAGGAGCTGGTGCAGCAGTTGGCCCTACGAGATGAACTGGAGTTTGAGAAGGAAGTGAAAAACAGCTTTATTTCTGTTCTTATCGAAGTGCAAAACAAGCAGAAAGAGCAAAAAGAAACAGCCAAAAAGAAAAAGAAACTCAAAAATGGCAGCTCTCAGACTGGGAAGAATGAGAAGAGTCATATGCCGGGCACAGTAAGTGATGTTTTGCAGGAGGCATCAAGCCCTGGAAACGGGTTCCATGGTCCCAGCACACTGGACCAGCGGCAGGTGCAGCAGGTCGCATGTGCGCAGGAGTGTTGTGCCTCCAACCAGAGCACCACAGGGATTTTATCCCCGAGGCCCCCGGGGCTCAGCTTCTTCAGAAGAGTATTTTCTTGGTGAGGGGTATAATGGTGACCTGCATAATTCAATACTGACATGTTCAGGAGGGAAGTAAGTGGAAGGAAGAGGGGGAAAGAAGGAGTATGCCTTAAAGAAAAGAAGCTTTAGCAAGTGACCATTTTTTGATATATCAAAATATTAATGGTGCTTATTTCTGTTTGGCTAGTGGGCTTATGAATCGTATTATATTTTCTTATTTTTGCTTAGCTCTTATGAATTGTGTAACAAGAAGTTAAAAGGGGATTCATTTAAAGAGAGCAGAACTGCGCTGAGCCTAAAAGTATAAACTGATTTGTAAACCGGTTCCTCCTGATTTATCAGTGCGGTTGGAATATGAGGATGTTAGTGGCAGTTGTGGCCTATCAGCCATTTGGCCGAGTATTTGGCAGACTATAATATTATTCACTGCTGCAAACAAGTTTAGAGTATTTGAAAGTTTGACTCTCTAAGGATTTTTGTTTTCCGTTTTTGTCATTTTTCTTATGTGGGCCTATTAATTTCACTTGATTAAACTTTATCATAAACATTAACTGTTGGTTATATGTGATGCATTCCCTTACTGATCTTATGGCTATTTCATTTTTCTGTGATCACTTGAGTCCTTGCACATTCCTACCTTTGTTTTGTCTGTGTGTGAAGAAATGTCACTTTTATTTTTAGAGTATAATGGTTGGGCAAAGGGATCCATTTTTCTAAAGAGAATGTAACTGTTTAATTCGGGATACTGATAAGATGATAATACAAATTACAAACTGGCTATTATGGCCTGCAATAATATAAATTCTGTCTTTGACTAAGTCTTGGTTTATTTTTCCTAAAGAATACATACTAGAGAAGTAGATCTCATTAACCGGATGCTGATGGAATGCTAGAAAAATAATACAGTTCTAGGTTACTGGGCCACCAATGAGCAGTTAATACAAACAAAAGGTATCCTACCCTACAGTCCTTTCATTATACTCTTATTAGCCTTTGGATAAATTCACGTTTTCTTAGGGCAATGTCCATTTGTACATAGTTAAAAAGGACATAGCTAATAAACTGACTTTGAGAAAGTTCTCAGATATCTTCTATTTTTGAGAAATGGCAGTATTGATTTAATAGGAATTTATGTAGTCATTCCTAGTGACTGCTCTGAAAAAAACAACCCCACATTTGTTTGAATGTGTAGTCCCGGCAAATTTACTTTAAAATGTTAGGGACAATATTTTGCATTTGCATCTCAAATTTTTAAAAATTGCACCCTTTAAATTGCCCTATTATACTAGTGGGATTAAATAAAATGTTTAGTTAAAAAGTCGTAGCATGGTTGGTAATTTCTGCCTGTCTGCTTTTAGGATTACATGTAAATCCTCCATTTATTGGTGTTAACTCTTAGCTGAGAAAATTAAATTTGTCCCTAGAGGGATTTAAAGGCTTCTTTTTGTAATTCCCATATAAGAAGGGTTAGAGTGGATCCACTGTGTAATTTTGCATGGCATTTATATGGAGAAATGTATTTGGCAAGGCAATGGTTAGGTCTCATTTGAACCTTCATTAGTCTTGAAATAGATTCATATTCATAGTTAACAGTGAATTTTTTCACAATATTTGAATTTGTGAAGTTGCTTCTTGAATCCTGATCTACTGTTTGTGTCAAAAATTTTAATTGGGACAGTAAAGCTTGTGGTAGTAGTTTCCTGTATCTTTTTTTAGCATTTCTCCTGAAATGCTGGAGAAAGACCATCCCATCTGTGACACAAGCAGCCTGAAACCTATGATTCTGAAAATAGTGGTAGGTGGTTCAGAAGAGCCCTACAGTGAAATGGCCAGTTGGATAACTAGATTCCAGGAGTTATTACTTTCCCAAACGTTTTGTATAACATGCAGTTTTGGCAAGGCCTGTTGTCTATGAGTTAGCTATCATCAGTGATACTAATTTTTTAAAAATGATGACCTTTTTATAGATGTCATGTATCATCTGTTTTTCCAGTGACATCAGTTACTTTTTTCTTCCTACCTGAGATATTTTTTGTTTTATTAGCAGGACTTAGAGTTTCTCCTTAAGCAGGGAATAGCTTCCTTCCATTTTTCTTCAAGCATATTTAATTGAAGCAATATATCAGTTTGTAGTTGGTATAACACTTTATCCATAATTACTAGCTTGTTCTCTTTGGTTCAGAGATACTCCAGTGAAATATCTGGGTGGGAATAGTGCAGAATTAAACTCTTTAGGTGATAATTGTGGAGACATATTTGTTTCAAACATTTGCTGCAGTGAAAAAAAAGGGGGGGGGGCTAGAGGGGCTATTTAGAGCATTAGAAAATGTATTATAGCATGAAAATATAGTAAATACTGAAGAAAATATTGAGTATCTTATAATGTGAAATGTTATCTTGATTTGAGTTGTCATTTTAAAAATAATCATAATGTTATATGTTGGACAAGATGAAACAGTACTCATTCATTTGGCACATATTTGTGCAGCGCTTTTCTAGTGCCACTGGGCACTACAGTGGAAATTAAAACATCCAAGGCCCTCCTGGAGTTTATATTCTAACGAGGGAGACAGTCAATAAACAAGGAAAAGAACAAATAGATGATTTCATTTCAGGTAGTAATAAATGCCATGAAGAAGTTGTTTGGGATCTGTTTTAGATAGGGTGGTTACTATGTCACTGCTTCTCTCGACTGGCAAGGGAGGCTGCTTGGTCCCTTTCCAACTCTCAGTTTGGAAGGGAGGTTGAAGGAATAGATCTCTTTGGGAAATGTGATTCAGGAGAGCAGAAGACTTTGTATTTTCTTTGTCCTGATTTGCAGCATCTGGAGGGGCAGATGGGTAGGTGACAGTGGAATTGTTGAAGGGTACTGTCTGTCTATCAGTATGGTGACCTACATGCATTTCTTTGAACTGACCATGCTGTTTTAGGTCTTGGTGCTTCTGTATATTGTACCCTTTTTCTGAAATGGATCTCCTTACCTGCTCTCCATGTGGGAGTTTTTTTTTTTTTTTAAATTCATCCTTCAAAATCATGGTCAAGCATTGTCCTCCTTTCTTAGACACTTCCTCAATGATTCTTTTTCCAATGCAGCATTGACTCTCCTTCTTTGGGGTTAGTATTACTCCTCTTAACTATTTCTATGAGCACTGTTGTGACTATCTTGTAATTTTTTGTTTTCATGGCTGTCTCTTTTATGGTTCCCTAAGGATAGGAAATTTACTTTTTTTGTTATCCTTTTGTCTAACATTAGGTACCTGCTAAACTTAAGCTGAATTAATGAGTTAGTGAAAAGTTAACTTCCAAATCTATATTTCTACCCTGAACCTTTCTGTCAGGGGTCAAACCCATGGGGACTGAATAGCATATTGATTAAGAGCTTTGGGTTAACTGCTGTGTTTGAATCCTGGTCCTTCCAATGGATAGAGATGCCTTTGAGTTTTGGAGGGATTAAGTGAAATAATGTAGGTAAGTCTAGCATACACCCTGAGGCAATACTAGTTATTGTATATGTCCAACCACATACTAGACATTTCCCCTCAGATCCTGGATATCTTTAGGAATTCTGAATTTATACTATCAAACCAAAGTTGCTATTTTCTTAAAACTGAATTTTTTTTTTTTTAATATCTCTTCTTTTGGTTAATGAAACTACACTCTAACCACTCACTGATACCTGTAGAATTTCTAGGTCAAAGAATGTGCAGTTTTAAAGATTTTTAAATGACCTGCTTTTCAAAGTGTTCTACAGAAGTGTAACCCAATAACAGCATAAGAATGACCATTTCCCCACACCTCCCACCAACAATGGATTTTATTAGCCTTTTAATATATATTGATTAGATAGGCAAACAATCGTTTGGCCTGCTGACCATTTGTATTCTTTCATGAGTTGCCTGTGAGGCCGTATTTGAGATGTTTTTCATAGGTACTCATGAGGATGCCATACTCTTGATGTCGTAGTACCACACTGTGCTGTAATCGTTAGCTTAAATCTCGTCTCTGGCAGAGTGCAGGCTCCCTAAGGGCACATTCACACTGTCTCTCCAGCACCTCCTAATTTCTGGTTCTTCGCACATTACTTAATGTGTGTTTGTTGAACTGAAATTTTACCATAAAGGAGATTGAGTCTCAAAGGATTTAGATTTGTGATATTTGAATTATTATTGTTCTATTGGGGATTTTGTTTATATCAAATGTCTTCACAGCTCATTGAATTTCAGTGGCAGTTCCCATGAGTACAAGAATAAGTTGAAGTATACCAGATTATGTTTTAATTTAGTAGTTGCTGTTCATGTAGAGTTATCTGAAGTTGTACAGACATTATTGCTTACCTGCTTAGCATCATATCTTAGTAAGCTTATATGGATGAAAATGGACATATTTACCCTTTGAGCATCCAGTAATATCTTTGATTTAAAGGTCACAAGTAAGGTTGCTTATTCTGATAATATGGTTGAGAAGTTAGGAATCTGTGTATCTTGCGTTTGCTATAATCACTGTGAGCTTTCAAGAGAGAATTTCTAGTGTGTTATACTCACCACCATTAAAAACATGTAACTGCTTCAACCTACCCTGAAAAAGTTTATCCTGAAAACTTTTGGGATATTAGCAATCATTGACTAACGGGTACTGGAGAAAGCAAGAAATGCTATTGTAAAAAGAATCATATTACTCTAATTTACTGATTTTGGGAGTTGGGAAGATAATTGCTTAAAGATGGGGGAGAGATAGGGCTTAGATGATAAATACTCTTTCTTGTACATATTTTCTTTTATAGATGCATTGCTCTGTCTTTGTGACTCACTTAGCTCATATTATGACTAAGAGCC